TAAAACTCTAATTTATGACAAAATCACCCCCACCCCCTGCTGCCACCGCAAACCACCATCGGAAGTCATCGAAGGTTGCCGTGAGTAGCTCACCGTGACCGTGAGGCTCCGATATGGTCGTTTCTAGCCATATTGATGGCCAAAAACTACCATATCAGGCCATATCTGATCGAAAAAGATCTGGCCGAAATATCTGGCCATTTTCAGCCAAATCCTTGGCCATTAGCAGCCAAATCTGGCCGTTAACAGCCAAATCTCACCCATATATGACCGCTAATGGCCAGGGATCTGGCCGTTAACGACCATATCTAGCCTGATATGGTTGTTTTCGACCATCAATATGGTCAGAAACGACCATATCGAAGCCTCACGGAGTCTCCCAGCAACTCTCGGTCATTTTTAGGGACTCTAGCGACGGTCCGTGGTGGTTGGCCCGTTGTCAGCAATGGTGGCTGAGTGACGGTGGTAGTCTGTAATTTGTTTTAAATATAAGGGCATTATTGTCTAAAAACTTAATTGAACAATGGTAAAATTGAAATGATATATTAATGTAAATTGATTTTATAACAGGGGCATTATTGTCCAAATTTTTTATTAATAAGGGATAAAATTGTAATAAAAATAAGATTACTTTAGTAATTTTACAATACTTAAGAAAATGAAGGTAATCAAATTACCTCAAATATTACCAACAATAACAACTATTGGTAATGTAAGATTACCAAAATCTTATATTATTTGATAACCAAACATGATAATCAAGTAGTATAAGATGACATAACCTCAATAATCTTAGATTATCTCCAACAAAACGCCCTCTAAGAGTTAAATTAACGACATTAAGTTTTATATAAGCGGGAGTATTTTAGCTAAATCTGAAATATTGGGGATTAAAATAAATTTTTTAAAAATCAATAATAAAAATAATATTATATTAATATTTAAAAAGAGGACAATTTAGTAATTTAAATAACATACCCACTAATTTATTCCCCTTAATCAAACATATTAATATTATATACCAACCAACTAACCGAACACACTTTTCAAAATATTTCAATAATTTTCAAAGTAATATAAGTTTCCAGTGATCTAACATTCTCTTAACTAAACCTAAGAGTTAAATTGGCGGCATCAAATTCAGTACAGTTTTGAGGACTTGCTATCTTCGGTTAATAGAATGATTTCTTCATTGGGGGGATGTATTTATATTTCTGGAATACAATTTTTGTTTTCAATTAGTACTGTTGGTTCTTTAATAGCAAGCAATGCATTATTTTTTGGTAATATATTGTGTATAAATAGAATGAAAATGTGGCACGTTACATCACCCAACAAATCTTGCTATAAGATTACATTTCTCTCACAATCACAAGTCACAGGCTCCCAGCTGTCCGTGTGATTTTGTAACGTGGAAGCTTGAAAGCGGCAGTGGCAGAAATTAAGCATCACGGCTCATTCTATGGTCGGCACGCCTATTTATTTGATAATTGATCATCAACCAATCGTGTATATTGTCCAATTTAATTATTGAGGGAAACCATTCTGGTATAACAGAGAGTATCCCACCCAAAAAAAAATAAAAATAAAATGAGTTTGGTCAACTGGTAAGGAACTCAAGCGAAGGGAAGGGATGGTAACATATCATGATCAACTAATAAGTGGTGGCGTCGAGTATAGAGACGTTAATGGGGTAGCCCGTTAGCAGTCATTTAGAATGAGCCCTTTTCCAAATCCCAACCTACTACTACAATTTTTTTTCCGCTTTTTAGCGTTGGATGGTCAGTGGTCATGTTCATATAAGTTAAAACTAATGGATAAATTGAAGGTAACTTGTGTAAGTTTACTTTAGAAGCAATTTAATGATGAGCTAATAATCATATATAACTAACTGGTCCATTTTCAGAGCGGAATTGAATGATGATTTCAATTAAGGTATTAATAATGTGGATCACGTGTATCATTTTAATTTGTGGTATTGCTAGATTAGATTTTTGACGTGTCACTTCTTTTTGAGGCGCTAGATGGCACATAAACAAAGCATCCTGTTGTAAACCATTTGGCTTGTAGTGTGAAAGATGTGTGAATGAAGAAATTTGGTTTCCATTCAACATCATGGCCATTAAATTAATTGGATAAGATTATGTTTGATTGATTCTATTAGTCTACCTTTTAAAATACATAATAAAAACTTACTGAAAGAGCAAGTGCTATTGATAGATGACCGTTATTTATATGTATTATATATATTTGCGAGACATGTATGCACGCAAAGCATGCACTTTTTTAGTTTTTATTTTTTTTTTTTTATTTTTATTACTGTATTATGGAATAAATAGAAAAAGGAGGACCGACGATGTACAAAGTGATTTTTGAAAGCGTCAAGTCAAGTACTTAAGAGTTAAGGAAGGTTCAAAAGACAAGCATTCGATTCTATTGGATGAAACAATGACAGTACTTCGTTCAGTTCAGAAACCAATTCAACCACGGTTTTATACATGTCCCTGCCATCCACATGAAAAGAATTCTACGTTCCACCTATATTAATTACTCACGCGTCATTTAAGCAAAGAACCTATTTTTTAAAATTTATTTTTATTTTTTTAATTGAGTTCTTCTATTTATTGTTTTTTATTGCATCTCTTAATTTGCTGCTTATTTAAAAATATTTTGATAATGTACCTCAACAACATGTTAGCAAACATAGATATTATTAATAAAACCAATAGCGTCTTTCTAACAATTATATCTGTAAAACTATAGGATTTCAACTTTGAAGAGTAAATTTCGTATTTGGCTGATATAATTTATATCAATTAGCCTCCATTTACCATTATTTTTCTGTTTTTCATATTTTCTCATTTTCATGCTATATTCTCAAACAATTAATCCTAATTCTAATAAAAACTGGGTGTAAAGTTACGAAAAAAAACTCAGTTATATATAGGTCTAAACTTATATACTCCCTAGTACTGAAGGTCAGGAAAATGATAGGGCTCTTTTTGCATTCTTCTTTTTCAAAAAAAAAAAAAACACACTATTGATTCGTATTTTCCTATTGGGTTTAGGCTCAGACAGAAGCGGGAAAATCCTATAACCAATAGTATGACAGTTTGTTGGGCTTAAGCCCGCTCAAAATTCAATACAACTTCAGAGTTCTAATGTATTAAGCTCTGACCACACAAGCTCAACCAGCTTTAAATTTACTTTCTTTGGCTATTAAGTGTTATTTGATTTTTACACAATTAATTTAAAGAGTTTGATGGGAAGATCTCCAAAGTAATGCAAAAGGAACTTTACTTGTAGCAATATTTGAGTAAATTATTGGTTATATGCTTAAAAAATCGTATTATCATGGATCTCCTACCATGGGTTTAACCTATAAATTATAGGTCCTGATAGAATAAACTAAACCAACTATGTGTAAAATACCGCAGCATGGACTTGAGACTCCCAAACAACCTCGTGTGGGTCAACAAAAGGAGCCCGCCCAGCCCAGCCAGCCCAACTCAGCCATAGGAACTTGGGTGTAGAATATCATAAAATCTAATCAATGCATTTATTTGGATATCTTAAAGGAAGTGTACCAAAATTAAACATTAATTAATGTTTAGGTCAGTACAAACAAACAGGTCAGAACTTGTAACGAGTTTGTTTCACCTACAGCCTAAAACACAATAGATAATGGCAGGTAATTTGACTTGAGAAAAAAAAAAAAAAAAAAAGGAAAGAAAATAGACCCCACTACACTACTTGCACTGCAATTTTAAGACAAAAGTTAATACACATAAAGTTATTGGTGGATAGGTTGGTATAGCAATGCACAGGGCCCCAATTCTTTTTTCGTGAAGATCTCATCAAGTCAGTCTGTCAACGGGTTAGCTCATCATCAATGCATAAACACTTAAACTAGAAATTTATTAGAAAATCTTTCATGGAATTCGCTAAAAGCCCTACCAGGATACATCAGTAATGGTAAAAATATTAAAATAGGTGCGTGCATTGTTTAAAAATAATTAGCACAGTAATATGACTGGGCTCTAAAAGTTGATAGGTGTGGTAATAAGTAATAAACAGGATGGGGCGTGGGTGGGCGTGGTTCGGTGGAATTGGCTGAAGTCTAAGATGCTGGGCCATGTGTAAAAATATTCCGCGTGAACACAAGTAGCTAGATGCTACGGAAGACGAAAAAAGAAACAATTAATGTACACTGTATCTATATTATTAAGAGTAAACGACATATTCCCACCGAGCAAAATCTCAATTAATACCTATATTGTATTTGTTCTCAATTTTCATTGTTTAACTAATATATTTGATTGTTGGTGATGATCAGAAAACAGTAAGTGAGATCGACAAGTAAAAATATAAGTTTATAAAGAAAATTGTGGAAAATTCAATAATGATTTGGAAGTGATTTAGACTTTAAAATCAGTATTAAAAACTAAAAATCATCGACTTAGATATTGCAACATGATGACCTTTTTTTGACATAAGTCAATTTTTATTAAGAAAATACTATATATTTTAGCATGCTAACAACGTCATGATACAATGAAATATTAAGACCCTATAAAATAAAGAATACAACGTTACCTTACGGGGTTAAAATATAAAATAAAGTGAATTCGGTTTATCGGTTTAAGATTTCGTTGTGGTGCTAAATGGGTGAAGCTATGTCGTTTTCTCTATTATGAACGATAAAGGAGCAACGTGGAAATCATAATTGCGTTGAAAATTTTGAAGCATAGAAGGGCAAAACGACGCGAAGGAATATAAGTCATCTCAATCAGTCGAGATGCCTTTTTTTTTTTTTTTTTTTTAGGAAAATAACAGAAAGCTATAATGCTTTGCTGTCCTGTCAAACTATATATTTATTGAATAAGATTCGTATCTTTAAACTCATAAACAAGTAAAGTTTTGCCCAGCGGTGAAGGGAAACGGCGATAGTAAATTTCCATAAGATCATAATTTTCAAAACGCTGCAAGGTAGTGGAACTTATTTTAAATATACATAATTTATTTTAAACGTAAGGTTGACCATCTGCCCAAGAATTTAATATGCAATTAGGCAAACATAACACATGGTATGTTACACACGAAAAGATTTCCCATGATCTTTTAAACATAGCTACAGGAAGAGCAAGAGCAACGCCATGGATTACAAAATTAAAGCACCACATGAAAAGATCTCTCATCTCAAAATGGCTCGTATCCCACAACGATCCGATCCGACCAAGCAAGGTCTGGCAAGCTCACATTTTTCCACTCTAATGTAAATTAACAAGAATGGTCAAAGTTTGCATTGACTATACGAACCCACCAAGTTCAACATTATCATGGCTTGATCAATTACCTTCTTTTGCTCACGCCCAAATCATAATCTTAATCAACCCAGTACGGGGCTCACTTGATTTGAGTCTCCTTTAATCTCATGCTCTACCACCTATATAACATTATAGCAACAATTAAAGATGTTTAACTCTCTGTGTTCACAAGGAAGAAGTAGTTTTTATTCTTTTGCTTCTTGTGCCAGAAAGTTAGGTGCCTTAAAGACTTATTGCCAACAACTGAACATTTACTCATTACAATTTACCAGCTGAACAACATTAAAAGCTATTCTAAAAAGCTAAAACAAAAATTAAAGAGAAAAAAAAAAAAAAAAAAGTAAGGCTTTTCTTGTCTTCATCCTTGTTTCTTTCAGGATAGCCTTGAAGAATTGGCATGATCTGTACTGGAATATGCATCTTCCATGAATTCAAGTGAGCAGCAAATTCTGTAATCGAAACCCTCATACCTGATTAATAACATGTTTTGCCGTGTTTCTAATTAGCTAGAGCTAACTTCGACAAACGATCTCTGAACCAAGTTTAGCTGCATCTCGTGGCACCAACTGACCCTGCGCCAACACTAAAGACTTGTAGATCTCAACGATCATTTTCTCATCATATTCCTTAAGTGGACCCTTTCCAAACCTATAAACCCCTTGGCCGGCTATGGCTCCACCATAACTGGTACAAACCCGTGAATGAGCTAAACTCATCATCATCTTCACGTAAGAGTCACGTAGCCATAAAAAGAACTTCTTTGGAGAAGCCACTTTGAGTATTTTAAGCTTAGGTTTGATCTTGATCCGCCAGGAGCGTCTTCTCCTGGTTGAACCCAGCTCCGATCGGCTTGTCCGTCTCCGACCTGTCCCATTATTTATCCTTTGGTAACCTCTCCTCTGCCAGTAGTTTTTCAAACCCTTGTACACTGTCGTCGAAACACCTTCCATTTTTTGGTTTATTTCTCTGGCTTCACTGTTTTTGGTATTCTTGCTTTAAAAGAAACTTAGATGGGGAAAAAGATACAAGTTGGTGAGAGTTGAGAGATAGAAGAAGGGTTGAGAAATTCGATGGATACATAAATATACATTAGTTGATATTATTATATTCGACATATAATGAAGATGGGTGGTGATTCATAATGAAGAATGCCAATTAATGTTTATCTGGATTTCTCACGGGAGTCCCTATCAGTATTCAATGACCGGGTGGACCTTTAAATAGAAATTGCAACTCACACGCCTAAAACTATATACAGACCTATCTGGCTTTCCACGTTAATGTTGCCTTATACCTTATAAGTATCAGGATTATAGCATGATTTTGAATATAATACATTATAAATCTTGTAATTATTCATACAGCGTTAAAAAATGGATCTGAAAGTCATGGATTTTGAGTGGTGCTATTATAATGGCGCGGCTAGTGGGTGAGGGAGTGGAGGTTGGGCATATATACATATTTATGAATAATTTAAGAAGGAATAGAAGAGAGGTAAGTAATTAAGTAGAGTCATAGTAACCGGAAACCCAAACCCAAAGCCTCATGCATGGAGCTAGATGGTGTGTCTGATATGGTGGTCCAGAAATTAGGTGTTAGGTTTGGACGTCTGTGGTTACTGCCATTGCATTCTGTTTTGACTTTTGAGCTTGACTCTTGTTTCTCAAAGCAAACTTATGCTTTTAACATTTTCCTTCTTGAGTGCATGGAAAATTGACAACATATTAATACCATTTCCTTTATCTCCAACCACCTTTTGAGTTTAACATCCAACTGTCCCGGTGGATAAGAGCATATCCAATTATGTTTTTTAAAGAGTATATTTCATATAAATAAAGAGAAACTTCATTAATTTATAAATATAAAGAATAAATTTTTTATTCAAATCTAATATGCTCTTTAAATTTAATGAAGATGTTTTTTATTTTCAAGAAAAATACATAATAGGAAAGAGAATTAATAAATAAAATATATAAAAACTTATCGTTTATTAATTAAAATTACGATAGAGAGTGAAATTTGACTCTCTAGATGTGGAGTCAAATTCACTCTTTAACTTATATTTAAATAATAAAGAGTTTGGTAGACTTTTGTTTTTATGAATAGACTCTTTATAATAAAAAGTTTGAATCATATAAAAAGCCTTTTGAATATGCTCTAAGACATCATTCTTTTCTTAACAAACTGCAACATTGTTTTTAGATTAAAAATTCAATTTAAAAATAATTTTATGTTAATTTTAAAATATTTACAGAAATTACTTGTTTTTTCTTCTAAATCATAGTCTCAAGACATCTTTGTCAAATGAGTTGTTTTTAGAACTCAAAAAAAAAAAAAAAAAAGGACTTCGTTTTTTGTTTACATTTTATAATTAGTATTTATTTATATAATTATCATGTTTTTTGCCCCATTTTGAATATTAAAAATAATTTATTTTGAAGTTTAAATTAATCTCCATGATTATGTCTTGTTGTGTGTGATTTAATTATGTCTTGTTGGGTGTGAATTTTCCACCAAGTTCGGAGTGCTACGAGGTTATAGCCCGATTCAGAACCAGCTTGACTATACTGATTGTCCGACCCAACATAAGTTCATCGAGTTATAGCTCGACCTAACACAAGCTAGTTGCGACCAATCCTTGCAGTTGTTTAACCAATTAACAGATAACTTCAGATCACAGATATCCCGGGAAGGATCAGATCAACATTAATCTTTGTGCAGTCACAACACCCAATCGCGAGAATATAAGAGTTGCATTTCCAACTTAATTGTAATCCCTTTATGGTCGCCTTTTCCTTTGTACAAACTCTACATATAAACCCCCTTCAAAGATGAGAAAAGGGGTTAACAAATTATTCTAGGATTGTTATTGTAAGCTCTCACAGCAAATACAATCACAGTGGACGTAAGCTTAAGAGTTCAACTCGTCGAACCACTTTAAAAATCTCTTTGTCATTTACTTTACTGTACTAATTATTTATCCATTACTAGTTATCTGTAATCATGCACACATCAGTTCCGATCTTGACTAAGTCAATCGGATCACCAAAGTTGGTGTAATTCGTGCATCAACATTTTGGCGCTAGAAGGAGAGCCTCCGCCAAATTCCGGCAAGAAATCCTAGTGACCTAATCACTCTAGGCCCACAATGGTGCATATAAGATTGAAAACCACCACTAGAAACCACGACAATGTGAGACCACCCACCAGGAGATGCAATAGGACGCTGCTAGGCGTTGAGCATTAGTGCCGTCGACTCAACAAACTACAAATAACCAAGGAGCAAGGACATCAAACCTCGAGAACGGCCAATTGGTAGAAATGATCAGAATAATGGTTGCATAGGCGGTGCAACAAATCGTGGCTGAGTTGAGAAATCAGCAACTAACCACACAAAACCTTGACCAATGCTTCACTGATATCACCATGACAGGTCAGAATTCTGTTGGCAACCAATCTGGCTCATCAACACCGAGGGGTGACCGGCACCCCCGACGTCACAAAGCACAATTCACTCATGAGCGCAAGTCCCGCAAGCAAACTAACCTCTGGAGAGGACCAGGGAAACAACCAATGGGGGAAAGCGAAGGTGATGGTTGCCCACGAGAAGCTTGACTTGCTTGGCAGTATCCCAAGCGTCAATGTGCCGGTTTTAACCCACGCCTAAAACAAGTTTGATCCTCGCAAGCTTGCGAGATGAGTTATGTGCGCCAATCTAGCAATGACCGACGTTTCGATTATAACCAACATCATGAGCAACACACCGACGAGCATGATAGCACCTATCAGCCTAGCCATCATGACTCAACTTCGCACATCAATACGTATAACGAAGGGGGCTCTTAAGCAGCAACTTTAAGAACTTACCTGCTCGAGGTAAGGCTGAACAGAGCCAGCAAGGAGAATCACAACGAAGACATGATCAGGTGCAGAAAATGCTCGACGATCTAAGAGTCTGCCAGAACAATGTAGCGAAAGAAATAGTGAGCTCTCCCTTCACAGAGGAAGGTCACTAGGCCCCCACTTTCCCAAGGATTTAGGACGCCAAAAAGCAAGTTTGATGGGAAAGGAGATTCTAGAGACAACCTTGATACTTTCAATGACCTAATAGAGCTGCACTAGGTCTGTGACTTAGCAAAGTGTTGTTGCTTAGCGGTCACATACATAGGGGATGCCAAAAGGTGGTACAAAAGACTTAAGGCAAACTTTATCAGTTCTTAGCAACAATTCTCCTCACTTTAATTGCAACAATTCCAAGCGAGGAGACACTTCGCAATGTCGCTCAGTTACTTGATTAACATTCGTCAGGAGAGAGACGAAACACTGACTTCATATTTAACAAGGTTTCAAAATGAGCAAGCAAAGGTCGCAGATGCACCCAAAGAGTCAATTCGAACTTTGCTAATTGCAGGCATCAGGCCGCAAACGGAGCTTTGGAAAGAGCTCTAAAGTGAAGCTCATGTGAACCTGGCAAAGTTTTACCAGATGGTTGCAAAGCATTAGCGAGTAGAAAGTTCGCTAGCAGCCTTAGCCAGAAGCTCGCAACGAAGAGCCCTGGATAGGTGATAAGGTTGTCCATCAGACAAGCAGAAGGGCCAAGCTACAATGACAGAGATCAGAATAGGTCCCAAAAGAGATAAAGTACAAATAGCCGCAAGGACAGGCTGCCTTTCCCGCAATATGCAGAATACACTCCCCTCACGCAAGATATAACCCATATATATGAAGTCTCCTGTGGGATGAAGAGACTGCCCGCTCCAGATAGAATACGGGGGGCTCTAGGTAGAAGACATCAACAAAAATACTGCCAATACCATGGGACATTGGGCACAATACCAAAGATTGTCGAGCCTTAAAAAATGTCATCGAAGACCTAATACAAAAGGGCCACTTAAAGGAATTTGTCAAGGAGACATTGGCTAGTGAAAATGCCGGCGAGTAAAATAACTAGGTCTAGCAAGACTTGACCAACGCCAACAACGAAGTCCTCGCGGGGATGATCTAAGGGGGTCCCAACATAGCGGGAGCTTAAGGCATGCTCGTGAGCAATATGCTCGAGAGGCTAAAACAGACTTAGTCCCCTGAGTAATGAACTGTGAACAGTAACCGTCGAAGCGACCCAGACAAGCGAGCAAGGTTGTAGGATTCACAGTCAAAGAATGTGAAGAATCCCCTCACCATAATCATTATGCGATTATAATCGCAGCTAGAATTGATAATGCTAGGGTACTAAGGGTGATGGTCGATAACAGAAGTATAACGAATATCATTTTCTTAGGAGCTTTCTAAGAAATGAGGTTCACGGAGAGAGACTTGAGAGCATGCCTATCGTCACTCTATGAGTTCACTAGGGATATCTTGGTCCCTAAGGGAACGAGCAAGCTGCTCGTGACTTTAGGGGTAGAACCCAAAATCAGGACGGTGACGACATAATTCTTAATGGTGGACTGCTCGACCACATATAATTTCATTCTCAGAAGACCGATCCTGGATGATTTGAGCACAATCACTTCAGTGCGCTCCAAGCAATGAGGTTCCTGACTCTTGGGGGGTCGTGACGATTAGAAGCTGTAGAAAGGAATCTGGGGAATGTTACAATCAGGTCATCAATGCTGCACTTAAATAATCACTCACGAGGACCATGCTCATTGCAGAGTCTGAGCCACACCCTAGACCTCTCGAGGATACAATAGATCCTCGTATCCATAGGGAAGAGCCTGTAGTAGGGCCAACAAAAGAGTTGCGAGAGATATCTATCAGCGAGGAAGATCCAACTTGCGTATTAAATGTCGACAGTAGTTGGGTAATGAAATGCTCAACAATTTGATGGGGTTTCTAAAGAAAAACCTCGACGTATTCGCATGGGTGTATGTTGATATGGTAGGGATTAACCTCGACGTCATGTGTCACAGATTGAACATCGACCGCACAACTCGACCAATAAAACAAAAGAGAAGATCTATAGATGCAAAACGATCTAAAGCGCTCAAAGACGAAGTTGACAAGCTCCTGAATATTAACTTCATAAGAGAAGTGAAGTATCTGGACTGGCTCGCCAACCCAGTTTTGGTTAAGAAGTCAAATGGCCAGTGGCGGACTTGCTTTCCGCTACCTCGGATCGACTTCATAGATTTAAATAAAACTTGCCCCAAAGACAGCTTTCCGCAACCCTAAATCAACCCGTTAGTAGATGCAATAGCCGAGAACACACTACTTAGTTTCATGGATGTATACTCGGGATACAACCAAATCTCGATGTATGAGCTCGATGAAGAATACACCTCCTTTATTATTGACCGGGTACTTATTGTTATAGGGTTATGCCGTTTGGCTTAAAGAATGCTGAGACGACCTACCAACGCTTGGTGAACAAGATGTTTGCTGACCACATTGAGCACTTGGGGGAGATGTTTGATATCCTTAGAAAATACAGAATGAAACTCTACCCTCTGAAGTGTGCTTTTGAAGTAAGTTCAGAAAAGTTCTCGGGGTTCCTCGTAAATCAACGAGGTGTTGAAGCCAACCCAGAGAAGATTCAAGCTCTCCTAGATATGAAAAGCCCAACTAGGATAAAATAGGTACGAAGCTTGACAGGGCGTGTGGCTGCACTTAGCAGGTTTGTTTCCCGAGCTGCGGACAAGTGCTTACCATTCTTTCAGACTCTGAAGGGGAAAAAAAAATTTCAAGTGGACTGAGGAGTGCGAGAAAGCTTTCTAGGAATTGAAGAAACATTTAAGACAACCTCCTTTATTGTCAAAGCCCATCCAAGGTGAGCCACTACTGTATATTTGTTGGTATCTAAGTCTGCAATGAGTACGGCTTTGGTTCGTGAATAAGGGGAAGTGTAGTGGCTAGTGTACTATGTGAGCAAGAGGTTGTTCAACGCAAAAACAAGATACCCCGAGATGGAGAAGCTCTCTTATGCCCTTGTCATTGCTACCAGGAAACTGCGGCCTTACTTCCAGGCGCACTCCATTCATGTGTTGACAAACTTTCTGTTGAGGAAGATAATGCAAAAGCCCGAGGCATCAGACAGATTGATCCAGTGAACAATGGAAATGTTTAGCACGATATCAATGCATCCCGAGGACAACAATTAAAGGTCAGGCTTTGGCGGACTTTATTTCAGAATTCTCCTATCAGCCAGAAGGGGAAATATGCCTGCCAAGGGCAAGTAACTTAGAAGAAAGTAAACAGCAGAAGTCAAAGTTTGACAAACTATGGAAGTGGACTCTATATGTAAAAGGGTCCTCAAATGATAAGGGGGTAGGAGCTAGGCTCTTGCTCAAAAGTTCAGAGGGGAACCCGATCAAGGCCGCAGTCAGATTCGGGTTTGTCACCTCTAACAACAAGGCTGAGTATAAAGTATTACTCGCGAAGATCCACCTTGCCAAGGAGATGGGGGAAGAGTCCATCAAGATCTATAGCGATTCCCAACTCGTAGTCCATCAGATTAGCAGTGAATATCAGGCGAAGGAAATCCGAGCTTGAGTTTTTCAAATCATTCACTGTTCTTCAGATCCCAAGGGAGAAGAATTCAGTAGCCAACGCTCTAGCTCGTCTAGCCTCTACAATGAGCCAAGAGAAGACAATTCAATACCTATTAAGTTCTTTCTAAGTCCAATCATCTCCGCTTCACAAGAACTAGTATTAGTGACAAGTCAGAGGTACAACTGGATGGATGTAATAATTGCCTACCTAAGAGATGGAACAGTACCTGAAGGGAAGAGTGAAGCCAGAACGCTCAACGCAAAGTCAGCTCGATACATGCTCATCAATGACAACTTATATAAGCATGGGTTTAATTCACCATTATTGCGGTGTGTTGACGATAAAGACGCGAACTATATTCTAAGAGAGATCCATGAAGGCATCTATAGGAACCATGCAGGAGGCAGATCTCTAGCATATAAAGTGCTTCGTCAGAGTTATTACTGGCCAATAGTTTTTGACGATGCAACAGACTATGTGCGTAGATGAGACAGATGTCAGAGGTTTGCAGATGTTCTACGAGCTCTATCCTAAGAGTTAAGTACTTTGACAAGCCCCTGGCCATTCGCAATCTGGGGCATTGACCTAATAGGTCCCTTACCTCAAGGAAAAGAGGGCATTAAATTCGCAGTAGTTGTTGTGGACTACTTCACCAAGTTGGTAGAAGCCGCGCCTTTAGCCACCATCACGTCGAATAAGCTAAAGGATTTCGTCTACAAAAACATCATTTGTAGGTTTGAAATCCCCTATACTATAATAACCGACAACAAAAAATAGTTTGACAGTGAAGACTTCAGATATTTTTGTGAATAACTTGATATTAAAAAGAGCTTTGCCGCTGTTTATCGGCCTCAAGCCAATGGTCAAGTAGAGGCTGTGAACAACGTTATCAAACACACCATCAAGAAGAAGCTCGACGCCCTGAAGGGAAGATGGGTCGAAGAATTGCCCGAGGCTTTGTAGTTTTATAGAACGATAGCCAAAAGCTCGATAGAAGAAACTTCGTTCTCTCTAGTGACACAATGGCCCTAGTTGAAGTGGGGATTAGTTTTTTTCAAAGGAAAGTTTTCAACAAGGAAACAAACGAAGATTTTCTCTGCCTAAGGCTAGACCTAATCGAAGAACATTAAGCGAAGTCTCAGTTAAGGCTCACCTCGTATCAGTAGCGAGCCAAACGATACTTCAACACCAAAGTCAAGAACAAAAGTTTTGAAATGAGTGACCTAGTCTTCAGAAAGGTCGTCCAGGGTACTCAAAACCTAAACTTGGGGACACTTGGGCCCAAATGAGAAGGACCATGTTAGGATTTACGAAAAGCTCGCACTAAGAACCTTCCACCTATAACGCCTCAATGGCGAAGCCATATTGCAAGCCTGGAACGTCGAGCATTTGCGAAGGTATTACCAATGAGCAGCTCAGGTTACACTCATGTTTTGTTTCAATCATTTATTGTAAGGTCGTTTATGACCAAAAAGTTCTATTAATAAAAGAGGAATTATTCATAACTTTTCTTTGTTCGTCATATTTATTTACTTGTTGTTTAGTATTTCGCATTTATTGTTTCAAAAATCGCGACCAACATGATCGCATCCAAAAAACTCAGAGTCAAGAGTTCAGAAAAAGGCAGCTTAGCTCGATAAACCATGCAAAAATCCAACTCATTAAGGGTGAAATACACCAAATCGACGAAGTTACATTTGGAAAAGTTCAAGTAAAAACATGTCGAGGGAGATTAGTCATAAGCCGACGACCAAAACTAGAGACGGACAATGAATCCGAAGTCGAAGTTGTGATATAAGATTTTCTTGCATATGTTCGAAAAGTTCCTCAAAAAGTGAGCTACGCATGACTTGTAGTAAATTCGAATTTTTTATTATAAGTCCGATTAGGACGATCGAAACGATTTTGCAGAACTAAAAAATTGCTTGACAGAGACATGCAAAAATATATTTCATTGATTATAAAGTTTGGTTAAAAACTTTACCAAAAAAAAAAAAAAAAAAAAAAGATACAAAAAAAATTCTTCCTAACTAGAAGGAGTGAAGGCATCACTATCAGCCGGACCATAAAGCTTGTCGCCAACTGGAACAGATGGTTCCTCAACGGTAGGAGTGACGGTGGCCTCTTCAAGGTTGGGAGCTGGCACATCTTTCGGAACCTCGCCCGAAAGAAGATCGGCAATAATGGGGGGAAGTGTGGCCAAAGGAGTTGGATCCTTGACCTCTTGTTTAAGGCCAGTTTCCTCCTCGCCTTTCTTGACTTCCTCCTCGCCTTCATTTTTAGGCTTTAAATCATTCGAGTATATATAGGCCATTCCCTGAGCTTCGGTCCCATCCTATCAACCTTTTTTTGATAAGCTCGTGGAAGAAAGGATTCTCACTGTTTTGCACAAGAAAGACCGATGTCTCCCAAGTCCGATTGATGATGGTTTCATTCAGCTCCCTAATCTGAAGCCTGAGCTGCTTAGTCTTAGCCTCGGCATTTTGTCAACCTTTCACTTCTTGGGTAAGGTCAAGCAAGGCTTGTTTGAACTTTGCCTCCCAATTCGAGGTAGTCTTCTATGTTGAGGTGAGCTCGGAGTTCAGCTTATTATTGGCACCTCATTGTTATGTCCAGTTCTTCTCAGCCTCAACCACCTTGGTTTCAGCTTTCGCCCGAGTGGCCACTTACCTTAATCTTGTCAAGGAACTCTCTCTCCTTGACCCCGAAAATCACCACCTCTTCCCTAAGCTGCTCGAGCTCAGTTTGCTTCACTTCTTTCACCTTCTTCGCAACTTGGGCCCTAGCCAAGACATCCTCCTTCAGCGTCTCCGCTAGCTATCATCCCTGATGAGTGCCCTCCAATGTGAGATAACACTCATCATAGAGAAGCCTCCCGGAATCCTTAAGTTGAGTTAAGGCGTATAATCTTTTTTATGCGCCTAAGATCGTTGATATCAATCGAGGATTACGGTTCCTTCCGTGGCATGTGAACTAGAGACCGCCTTGACTGAGCCAACCCCATAGAAGCATGATTAGATGAGCCCGTCACATTAGGATCCGAGCTCCGTGTGACCACCTCCTTTGAAACCTTGGGGATTATGCCCTTAAGGACTGCCGAGCCCGCAGGGGAATCGAACATTCGATCAATCGTGTGGCTACTTGACGAAGACATGACTATAACTTGCCTCTAGGTTCTTGAAACAGAAGCAAACATGTGTTAGAGTTCGAAAAACTCGATGACCTATCCACACTTTGCTTTCAGTTCAGGCCCCCGAAATAGCTCATGTTGGACAATAGACACACGCGACCTACCAGGAATTCTGGCGGCCGTTATGGTAAATCCTCTTTAAACCTAGGATCACTAAAGACACACTTAAAAACCCTAATAAAGCCATAAAAGACTCAATGCAGTCACGACAATGGCCACCCTTAGTCACGAAAATCAAGAAAACAACTAAATGAAGGAAAAAGAAACCTTATAGCAATAACAGAATAGGATGAACTCGTCGGAAAAAGCACCGTGAAGACAAAGAAGTAGCGATGGAATGAGCAAGAACATCTGAGAGTTTTTGTAAGGTGAGTAAGCTTTTTGATGAGTTCGCCCGCCTTTATAATGGTTTCCATGGGAGATGAAATGGTGGGATTTGATCATAGCCGTAAATTTACAGTGAATCTTGACCCTCCATTCGTAGAGTGATTCGGCCCTTGGACGTGGCCATGTGTCAATCATCCGCGAGGGGCGATGAACCATCAGGCTACCATAATAATAACCTTCACCACACGTCGCCTTAACTCCGCACGTGGACAACTATAGTCGCCCATGTGCGACGAAAAATAATTGCCAAAGGCTGCCGCATTTAATGCGATATGACTGTGTGGAATTTACACAATTATCCTTTCTTTTCAAATTCCGAGTTTGTCAAGAATGTCGCATAAGAGAAAAGGTCCTAGTGTGGAGTAAGTCGACTGGGCATGAGTACGACTCTCAAAGCTCGACCGAATCTGCATCCAATGCCCTACTGATGAATGTCGAGCTTGATATCAAATCAAGTAATAGTCTTTGAAGCTCGAAACAAGCATCGAACACTAGGGGGCAGATGTTGTGTGTGATTTTTTCACCAAGCTCGGAGTGCTGCGAGGTTATAGCCAGATCCAGAACCAGCTCGACTCTACTGATTGTCCAACCCATCATAAGCTTGTTGAGTTATAGCTCGACCTAGCACAAACTAGTCGCGACCAATCCTTTTAGTTGTTCAACCAATTCATAGATAACTTCAAATCCCGGATATCTCGGGAAGGATCAGATCGACAATAATCTTTGCGCAATCACAGCATCCAATCGTGAGAATATCGGAGTTGCAATTCAAACTTACTTGTAATCCCTTTATGTTCGCTATTTCCTTTGTACAAACTCTGTATATAAACCCCCTTCAACGATGAGAAAAGGGTTAGCAAATTATTATAGGATTGTCATTGTAAGCTCTCACAGGAAATACAATAACAATGGACGTATGCTCAAGAGTTCAACTCGGCGAACCACTTTAAAAATCTCTTTTCCATTTACTTTACTGTGCTGATTATTTATTTACTGCTGGTTATCCATAATCATATACCTATCAGTTCTGATCACGACTAGGTCGATCATATCACCCAAGTTAGTGTAATTCTTGCAACAACATGTAAAAGCCATTTAAAAGAAACAAAAAACTAATAAAAAATATTTTCTTAATTTTTTTAATCTAATATACATAGTATTGAATTTGAGGTTTAAAAAAACTTGTACAATTACTTAATTTATTGTGATTTATTTATTTTTATTTTGGAATTGGAAAAAATCCAAAAACAAAACTCAATCAACTAAATCTTTGGTTAAAAAAAAAAAAGGTAAAATAGTAGAGTAGGTTGAAGGTGTGTAATGTATGCATAAGTATAANAGGGGATTCTTCTAGGAGAAGCCTCTCAGAACCCTCAAATTGAGTTGAGGCGCATAAGTCTCATTTATGCGCCTAAGATCCTCG